ATTTAATTTTTAATTTTTATGCTGTTTATGGTCTGTAACATAAATTTTAATAAATAAAAAATCCGTAAATTGTATCGGAAAACACAAAAGACCTTTTTTTATGAAAAACTATGAAATTTTGTTGCTGAAAGTGGCAAGAAACCACAGAAAAAATAGTTAGAGTAAATTTTTACCCTAATCCCATCTAGTTTACGAAGCACCTAATTAAAAATTTCAAAATTTTATTTGTTACTTTTGTGAGTTAATTTGTATTTTTYTATGTTTAATTAGGATCTCTTATTTCAATTTAAAATAAAAACGTGTACTTAGAGATTTTTGCTTTTTAATCCGTCTTCTTTCATTTCATTTTCATGGACCAACAAGAAACCCCTCCCGAAATAAAATCCTGGTTACGGCCCTGGACAGACATCATTACCTAATGTCAAAGTACAGAATTCAGTGCTAATAAGAACCACACCGCAAATAAGTACAATGTTGTGGACAAAAATGAGATTCTTGCTACAAAAACTTGCAAGAAAAAGGATGTATATACAGAAAAAAGTTATTTAGCAAAAGATACAAGTGGGTATTATGATGATTGGCAATAAATTTTGTGTAATTGATTGAAATGAGCTCAAAGTTGATGCATTTTATAAATTCTTCTTCAGCTTTTGTTTCAAAATTGTTACTTTTTCAACTCGTTCCTCAAAAACGATGCACAAGACACTAATTTAATTGCGTTCTTTCCGAGGTTCTTTCTCATTCATGTTTATTTTGTATTTTTGTCAATTTTTTGCTAAAAATTGAGAATGTTTAGCAAACCTGCATTACAAATTGCGTCTACATTTTAACGAGCCCTTTTTCTAACTTCCTGCTTGCGAACTATTCGTTTCCAAATTTCGAAAAACTGTTAGTGTACCGAATTTGTTTCTTTTTTGGTGTTTCGTCTCTAAATTTTCTTAGACGATTTTTTTGTGTTGACGTTTAATGACATTGTTTTCAAATTAATTCAAAAAATCGGAACTGCCAACTTCCTTTATTAAAATTACTATGAATGAATTTACTAGTGATGCCAACGTTTAGACTGTTTGGCATTTCTATTTAAAAAAAAAAAACAGACTTTAGAAAATAGTACAATTTTTTTCACAAACTAATTTTTAATCTTCAAAACGTTTTTCAGAATATTTTTATTTTAATATTGCGTATGTATATACAGGGTGATTTTGCTAAAATTTGCATATTTGTTATTGTTCTTTTCTACTTTTTTAATTTTTTATTCGAGAATTTGAGAATTCGAGTTTTTTATAAAAAATATTAGTTATTATTTTATGTTATTACAGTTATTACAGTTACGTTTATTGAATTAAAATAACAAATAGTAATAATTCTAGCCTTAAAAAATATAATACGTATCAAAAAAATTGTTTTAGTAGATAAATTAAATTGAGATTTTTTTTGTAACAATGTGTACAGAGTGTAACGAAAAGTTGGGGACAAAGAGTAACCTGAGATTCCCCAGATCGAAATAAAGCGATTTAACCTAACTTACCTTTGTATCAAGTTGACCCGTTTAAAAGTTAGAGGGCGCCAAAATTTAAAAATTATTTTCGCTTTTATTTAATAACTTTTTAATGGAGTAATTGATTTTTATGAAATTTTGTACAGGCAATTTGATATCAAGACTACAAGTTTTGGTGATATTTCTTTTGTTTTATTATTATTGTAAAGTACCTACCTATTAACAACTTAACATTTTAAGCCATATTTTTGTTATACGTAATCCGAGTGGCGTAATTCTTTTTTATTCAAAAAGCACATTATTTATAAACAATTTTTTTTTCTATTGGCCTTGGTTTTAAAGTAAAAAAAATATTTAAGTACATGTGTTAATACGTATTTATTATTAAATTAAATTAGTATTAAAAAAATAATTTTTAATTTCTTTATGTATGTGCCAGTTAACAATAATGTAATTAATATTAATTGAAACAGAATTATTTGAAAAAAAATCAAAAAAATATCAAATTATTTCAATATTTTCAATTTATTTAAAAAAAAATTAAACACAAAATCGTGAATGTTTTTATAGAATTTTTATATTTCAAAGATATTTCTTTAATTACTTACTTTTGAAAATTGAAAGACCACACATGCTATACTTTTCAAACATTTTTTTTTTCTAAAACATGTTACAAAGACTTACAAAAACCACTAAAAACACACTCGGAGTCAAAAACCAATGCCATATAGCCCTTCAAAAGGCAGCTGGCTGTTGATCACACGCTAGCTACCCCATGACGAGCCCTGTGGCACCCAGTTGTCAAAAAAACACCAACTGAAATAAAGACAAACAAAAACTACATTTCCCTTTTATATGGACGGACAAGGAGGGGCCTTTTCCTGGCCACCATTACGATTGATAACTCTTATCATAACTCCTGTCCAAAACCACAAAAATTTCGAATTTCCGGAAATTGACAATAAAAAATTTAAACTAATTGATGATTTATCAAATTGTTTAATTTTTTCTAAAAAAAAAAAACACGTATTTTTGTGGTATTTCAAATTGAAACAAAAGCGCAACGGCTCCTTATCAAATCGCATTTCCACGGCCTGCTCCAACAGGAAACGTTCTCTTGTTTTATCACGTGATAACACGCCACTCTCTTGTTATCACACACACACAAACAAAATCGGTTAACCACATTTTCCTTTTCCGCGCGATTTTCCATCACAACCGTCGTTTGTTTTAAGACTATTTGATATAAACTGAAAAATTCTGTTTGGTATGAGATCGCGGGTAAAAAATCAAATTTCACATTAGTCGCCGTTACAACACGTGGAAATAAGGGCGAAAATCGGACACTTATGGGGATAGTAACGTGAGAATTCCGGCTCAAGAGGGAGACAGAATCATGGGGGTTGAACATGCAGAAGTGAGAGAGAAGAGACCACATGTGAAAAGCAGAATCAACATGTGGTTTTCGATTGAATTCGAAAAAAATTTTGATGACGTGAGATGGAGGAACAGAAAGGGAATGAGATTTGAGATGCGAAATGTACATTTTTGGGTGTTTGTGCGGTTTTCCAAGTTTTATTTAATTATTATTAGACGACAGGGCCGGCCTGGATATTTTTCAAATTAAAAAAAATAGTCTCAAAAAATATGAAAAATCAAAACGGAAAAGAAATGATTCATGATTCCATGAAGAACAATCATTTCAACTGTTTTTATTGTAAAACCTTGAAATTGTCTATTTTACTTTTATTTAAACTCATATTTTTTTCAAGTAAATTATTTTTTTTAATTGAGAAAAAAATCGGAAAAATAGCAAATAAAATGTGTTCGAACAAATTTAAATCTAAGATGATGTGATATAGACCTCGTCAAAAATAATTCAATGTTAGTTGAATCACCCTGTATATTATTTTATTAAACAAACAATTTTAAATTTTTAAAAAATAAGCGAATTGTACGTCCTTGAATTATTGAGATATTTCATCGGAATTTTGATAAATACTCACACCAGTCTGACATCCTGAATAACTTTTATTTTATCTAAACTCAAAAAATTATTATCATAAATTTAGAAATTTAAATATGTAGTATACAGAGTGTGCCAGAACTCGCACCCTAGAGGAAAATGCCATATAAGGTATGATCCCAGAAACATGGAAAAAATGTTAAAAAAATTTTATCTATAAAAATTTCGAAGTTATGAGAGTTTAAATTTTGCACTTTGACTCTATTTATTTCTGTTGGAAAAATAATTTTCTAACTTTTTTTGCTATAGGCTATTAAAAGAGGAAACATGGAAGCTGTATCCTAAATTGTAACTCTGTTCAATGTTATTTGTGGCTTTTATTGGCAAAATTTTTGTACCTTTACTAAATAAAAAAACCTTTACTAATAAACATATACCACATCTTCAGATCATTAAATAGACATAAAAAAATGTCAAATCTCAAAAAATAAATGTCAAAATTTTTTGACAGATAGAATTTTTAATCTTTTTTTCCGTGTTCCTGGAATCTTAACTTACTTGAAAATTTTCTCTCGGGCGCGAGTTCTGGCGCAGCCCTGTATAAAATAACACATAATTATAAAATTTCATTGCTTAATAATTATTTTATAACGTAATTTCAATTACGTAACATAAAATATGAATAAAAGTCTTGAAGCACGAATTCATGTTTAAAAACCGAGTGCGTAGTCATGAGTTATTTTAAAAAATGAAGTAGAAGGAAAGTTACCATTTTTAGATACTTTAGTAATTAGAACTAATAACGTATTAGAATTTGATATTTATAGGAAAAACACTAGTACACTTCGCTATATCACCGCTGACTCACATCATTGTCCTCAACATAAAATGGCGAGTTTTAATTTTTTAATTCACAGGCTTGTTAATTTTCCCTTGACTCATGCAAGGTTTGAAAAAGAGCTCAAAATTATTAAAGATGCAGCGAAGTGTAACGGTTTTGATGTTAACATAATTAACAAAATGGTTCAAAAAGTTAAATATAGAAAAATGGTCAATAATTCCACGACTTTTACAAACACACCAAAGAAAACACAATTTATAAACTTACCTTATACTCCCTCAATCACAAGAGGTTTGAGTAAAATTTTCAAAAATCTTGGTTACCAAGTTGTTTACAACTCTGGTAGAAGTCTCAAAAGTTTTCTTGGTAATCCTAAAGATAAAGTAGGACCATTAGAAAAATCGGGGATTTATGAAATTAATTGTAAAGATTGTGAACAAAAATATATTGGGCAAACACGTCGTTCAGTTAACACTAGGTTTAAAGAACACATAGCTCATTTAAGATATAACAGATTTGGAAAATCAAGTGTGGCCCAACATATTTTTGAAAAAGACCATAAAATAGATGAAACTAATGTAAAAATCATTAGAGTAGTCAATAATTGTAAATTTCTTGACGCTTTCGAGAGTCTTGAAATATTTAAAAATAGAGATAATCTCATGAATTCAGACAACGGCCCCATTCCCTTTTCTCCCCTCTACTCGTTAGTTGAGGGTAGGGAAAGTGAAAGTCGGAAAATTAGTATATAAGGCAATACCATTGTTAAATTAGTTAGTTTTATTCTCACCTGAGGATGACCACTTTGTGGTCGAAACGCGTTGTGCTATTAAAATAAAAGTTTGGTGTGACGGGCTAATCGTGTTTTTGTTCATTAAAAAATGACTACTTCAAGGTCATATGAAGCGAGTTTTTTCTACAAATTTTTGTAATTTGCTCTCTATGGCGTTTTTAAACAAAAATTTTTACTTTAATCGATTTAGGAATTGTGACATTTGGTAATGTTTTGATTTTTAAGACATCACACATGATGACGTATGTCTAATAAAAAATCATTAAAAATGACAATTCTGAAAAAGTAGGGCTAGAATAATTAATACATGAAATCTACAGGATCTGTTGACATAATTTAGTTACTTCTGCTGCCAACATAGATACAATCCACACACTAGAGGTAAGTATAATTACTCAAAATGTTTTATTGTTATCAGTGTAAGTTTCACTTTAGTTTTGCAATTTGTTTGTTATCTTATCAGGAAGTTAAATGATGTAACTAAGTTATTATTTGTCGCTTTTACGAGTATATTAATACTTAAAAAATACTTAAATTTGTTAAAATTGTGGTGTGAAATGTTTTGATACGCCACTGGAAATACTGTCAAAAACATAAATTAAAGCAATTTTTATTTCTTTTATACAAGTCATGAAATAGTAATTTGCATTAATAATAAATGCAATTATATTGTTGTTGACGCATTGTTATGAAAGAACAAAAGCTGTAATTTGTCGCGTTTCATTGCAATTCATCAATCAAACAATTTATAGTTTTTTATCCAATTAAAATTAGGTTTGAAATTTGTCACAATAATAATTAGTGCTCAAAGTTTAAAACATTTCCCATAAAGTAATAGGAATTTTCATTTAACTTGACGTGACCTGACGTTTTGTTTACATTTTTCCAGGTTAGTAAACCTCATAAAACAATTATCCCCCAAATAGACGTCAAAACATGCAATTTATTAAATAACTCGACCTCAAACAGGAACAAACAACAAAATTAATGATTTTTCTCCAATAAACCTTCGTTTTAACGGTTCACAAACCGAGTCAAAGTCAAGTTTTATGCAAATAGAAACCGGTATCACACTGCACGCCCTCAAGGTGAAATTTATTTGAATCCGACTCTGTCCCCTCCAGGTGTCTTAATTTAAATTTGGCGCGCCATTGTTGTGTCTACGCATGCGTAGCTCACTTGACCGGATTGACATTGAGCGTTCAAAATTCAAGAAAACGCAAAGATTAAATAAAACTTCAAGATTAGAACGTCTCGAGACAAGTACGTGAGTAACAAAAGGTGAAAGTCCGATTGTTTTCATTGATTTTTGTCTCTAACCTCAAAATTCTTTCAGTCATGAGTCTCTCTTCGATTCTGGTCCCCACGACGCCCTTCGAGGGCCAAAAGCCTGGCACGAGTGGTCTTCGGAAGAAAGTGAAAGTTTTCATGGAGAAGAATTACACGGAGAATTTTGTTCAGTGTATTTTGAATGCTTTGGGGGCTAAAGTCAAAGGGGCGACGTTGGTTGTTGGGGGCGACGGCCGGTATTTCTCCAAACAGGCTGTCAATATAATTATCCGGATTGCGGCAGCTAATGGGGTTAGTTAATCAAATCTAGTATTTTTTTTTCTAATTTTTGTTTCACAGGTGGCTAAACTGATAATTGGGGAACGGGGAATTTTATCAACTCCAGCCGTTTCGACTCTCATCCGTACTCACAAAGTCCTAGGTGGGATTGTCTTAACCGCTTCACATAATCCAGGAGGTATCAGACACGATTTTGGTATTAAATTTAATATCGAAAATGGGGGCCCCGCACCTGATTCACTCACGGATGCCGTGTACGAACTAACAAAGACGATAACCCAGTATAAGTTTACACCCGATTTAGATTGCGAGTTTGATAAAAAGGGGGTGCAAACGTTTAATGTTGATGGAAGCGAGTTTGTTGTGGAAGTTGTGGATTCCTCAGAGGATTATGTGGCACTAATGAAGGAAATTTTCGATTTTGGGAAGTTAAAGGAGTTGATTAGGGGTGATGGGAAGCGGCCCCCGTTCCAGGTCCTAATTGATTCAATGAATGGGGGTGAGTAAATAACAAAGGCAGGCAACCAATCGTACAACGATGTATACCTGGTTGTCTACATTTGAAATTTAATTAACAAATTATTGAAAATTATCACATTGTGATAAAGACTAGACTGTTTTATCTCATTATTTTTACTGCCTTGTGTAATTTAATTGCATTGTTGTCATTCAGTGAACGAATTTATGATTTTTTTACATTTATGTAATTGGTAATAAAAAAACAGTACTTACGTAAATAATTACCGCACAATTAATACATGACTTAACAAAACTTTATCTACGCAGTAACCGGAGTTTATGTCACCCGGATTTTCGTCGAAGAATTGGGGGCTAGCCCTGATAACAACGTTCGAAGAATCATCCCCTTGGACAATTTTGGGGAAATCCATCCAGACCCCAATCTCACGTATGCCAAGGATTTGGTTGATCGAGTCAAAGAGGACACTACGTATGACTTTGGGGCTGCTTTTGACGGCGATGGGGTAAAAAATAAACAAACATTAAATCGATTTATTAATAATTGTGAAATCCAGGACCGTAACATGATAATTGGGAAGAACGCTTTTTTTGTCACTCCCAGTGACAGTTTAGCGGTTATTGCGAATAATTTGCAGTGCATCCCCTATTTCCAGAAACGAGGTGTGCACGGATTTGCCCGATCGATGCCGACAGCGGCTGCAGTTGATCGAGTCGCTGCGAAATTGGGGATGGAAATGTTTGAGGTTCCCACGGGATGGAAATATTTCGGGAATTTGATGGATGCGGGAAGGTTGTCATTATGCGGGGAGGAAAGTTTCGGGTACGGTCCTTATTTTGTTTATTTTAAGAGGGAAAATTGGTATTTTTACTGTTTGCAGGACCGGCTCTGACCATATCAGGGAAAAGGACGGGATTTGGGCCGTTTTGGCGTGGTTGTCCATCATCGCGCATAAAAATATGAGCGTTGAGGATATTTTAACCGAACATTGGAAAATCTACGGGCGGAATTATTTCACACGGTATGATTACGAGGAATGCAATACAGAAGATGCGAATAGGATGATGGAACATTTGGAAAAGTTAATCGCCAATTCGAGTTTTGTTGGAAGAACGTTGACATCGGGTGGAAAGTCGTATACAGTTAAAATTGCGGATAATTTTTCGTATATTGATCCAATCGATAAGAGTTGTGCCAAAAATCAGGGAATTAGGGTGTTGTTTGAGGATGGTTCGAGGGTGATTTATAGGTTGTCGGGGACTGGGAGTACAGGGGCCACGATTCGGTTGTATATTGACAGTTATGAGAAGGATAACGTCACTGCTGATGCACAAGTAAGTTTAAAAAACGCATTTTTTACAATTTTCTGACAAGCTTTTAGGTCATGTTGAAGCCATTGGTCGAAGTCGGCTTGGAAATCTCTCAATTGAAGAAATTCACTGGGCGTGACCAACCCACCGTAATCACATAATCAGTAGTAACTGTTGTGGCATTTATTGTGATCATTCGTTGCGTAACTATATTTTTTGAGTGTTTTATTTGTCTACATTTTTATTTGTACAAATTCTTATCGAAATTAAATTAAGGTAAATTAAAACCTAACAAGTCTTTAATTTGTATCTCCAACGGTATAAAATCGTATTGTTTATGAAAACGGTCACAAAACACAAAAAATTAAAAATCCCTAAAATTCCTCTGCGATCCTCTTCCTTTTAATATTGAAAATTTTCGCATAAATTGCTAAATTAAAAAGTAACAGGAGTATCATGAACACAAAAACGCGAAGAGGTATTTTAACGGGAAATTAAGATTTAAAATACCCGCCACAATACCTCTTCACACTCTTACGATTTTGTTGCCCCTGATACTTTATAAAAAAAAAATGAAATTTTCGCCTAAAATCGCAAAATTTAAAATGTATCAGGATTACAAAAACATAGAGGTATGTTGGCGGGAATTTAAAAATTTTCTCGTGCTCTTTAAACAACACTGAATTTTTAACAAAATCACAACTTTTTAAAAGATCAGGGATGAAAAGGGGTTTTTCTGTGTTTTCTGTCAAATAACTACAATAATTAAAAATACAAATTTATTCAACATCTTATTTAACTAATTAAGGTAAATCAAAACCTAACAAGTGTTCTAAATTATACCCGAACAATTTAAAATCATATTCGTACTGTTTATACAGCCGTTGAATATCATTCATTGACAGTTGCTGGAAGTATTTTTTCAATTTGTACGAAGTATGTGACGGTTTAGTGTACGGAAACGTCAAAGAGGGCGCTCCAATCATATCAAGAAGTGTTCTCGCATCTTCTACAAGACTCTCATAACGTCCTATAAACGTGTAGTTTAGCGAGCAAGGTTGACAAAGATCATAGATGGGGGCCCAATGTTCGTTAGCAGTGGCGCCACCGTTGAGTATATAGAGAACAAACTCACGGAATGAAACATTACGGCCAGTCTCTAGATCAGTTTTAGTGGCATTTTTGCGGTATTTGCGAATTATATCTTTCCCATACCGGATCTGTAATAAGTTAATAACACATTTGTAGAAGTATAAGAAAAAAAAAAAAACAGACCCGAAAATACTGCGTATAGGTAGTTTCAAATTTGTTGCGATAGGCCGATAGGAGGCGCTCAAACGGGTGTCGCACCATAATAAACGTCGTATATGTATTGACACAATTACTAATAGTATCATTTTGTAGTTGTGACAACTTCAAGGTTGAATTTTCATTATGTGCCACTGATCCAGGAATGTCAATTAAATTCGTAGCTGAAGTGACACCTGTCAAAACCATTAAGATCCTTTTCCAGTTAGTGCACGCCACCTAGTGTCAAAAATTCGATTTAATTGTCAATTCTCTTAAAAAACATACCTTTGGTACATAACAATACAACAACCGGTGTTTGTGGTCCACTAATATGTGATCTAATTGTCCCCAATTGAGACTTTTCCTCACTTGTAGTCTATCACACCCAGCTGTCAATTGTTCCTGTCGTGTGACTTGCTCCAACCATGGGTATCTCCCATGTACGAATAAGACCAACAACTGTCCAAAAATGATTTTTTCCAAGCCAAACATTCCCCGTTAACATGTCTCGACTTTCCCGCGTAATTTTTTCGCGAAACGAATTTCTGATTTGTTGACAACGCCGTAATTGCTGACCAATTCGCCGTCTTTAGTCATCGGTTTGCCCCAATGGAGGAGGTCGTAAGTGCGCCAAATGTAACGCCACGATATTTTCGTTTTGCTGCGGAGGCGCTGCTGTCGCAGGGTGAAGTTGCGTTGGATGGCGCGTTTTAGGTCGCGGACAGTTGTCCCAATCTGAGGAATCTGGAATTTAGAAAAATAAATTGTTGATAACGATATTGGCTCAAGGACTCAAGTGATTGATTTCCAAGTAGTGTTTACTGACTGATAACTATATTACTATTATTGTTATGAAAAATCTAGTATTATTCTAGGATTCGAAAATATCTTGTAGAAATTATGGGGGGTTCGCGGCATAGCCGCTTACACCCATGCACATCTCACCATCGGATTCGCGAATGTTTTGTAGAATTTCTGGGGGGCCCAAGTTAATGTTTCTAGCTAAGAATTTCGTAAAATACACTTTTCAAAATGCAAATTAAGATATAAAGTCGCGGTCAATTCATAGTGGCAATTTAATTTATTGCAAAGTTGGCAGTCCCTTGCCCGGCATCTCTAGTGTGTGGGTTGTGTCAATGTTTTGTTTTTGAGTTATGCGATTTTTTTGTCAAAATTGCAATTTATGTGAAAAAAAATTTTTTGAAAAAATTAAATGTAAAGCAGATAGTTGTAATCCTTAGAGTATAGCTTTCATGAGAAAAATGATTTTATAGTGGGTTGCCATTTAAAAAAATATTTTTTTTTGTAGAACTCAAAAACAAAAGAAAATTTCGAAAAATTTTATTCTTGTTAAATCATCACATTTTTATAGTACTTTATCACTCATCAATTAGTTTTTTCAAAAAATAAATAATTTAAGCAAAAAACGTTTGGTTCCATACTTTTTATTCACCTGGTATGAGAAGTATTCTAAAACGACTTTTTCAGAAATGTCACTTTTGATAGATATGTCCCTAAAAAACAATTGGTTGTTTAAAGTCGGATTTAAACAACTCAATTTTTACAAATTTACACAGGAAAGTGGCCACTATGAATTGACCGCGACTTTACTTAGAATTATCTGAATTAATTTGGGATTATGACGAACTAGTTTGGAAATAAATTTTGAATTTATTAACAATATCACGGTTTATTGCCAAAACTTAATTTTCACTTCGAAAAAATCGCTAAACTGACAAATTTTGAATATTTTATAATCCATTATTAAGTTACATTTGGTTTAGTTCGTGCTTTTTTCAAAAATATTTGTTTGTTTGAAAAACCTTGAAAAAACACAGTCAATAATGTTAATTTTTAATTTTTGTTTGATTATTGAGTCTAATACCATTGATGATTATTTTTCGCTTCTTATTTTGAGATTTAATTTTTTTGAAAAAAATTTTTTTTTACATCTAAAAAATTAACGTAACTTTTTATATTGCTCACAATACACGTATTTTAGTGTTGAAACGCTTTTTAGTGAGGATGCCCAGCTATGTAATCAAATCCTATCGAATTCCAAAATATTTTGTAGAAATTGTAAGGGAGCTCGCGGCATAGCCGTTCGCCCCCGTATACATCTCACTATCAGATTTGCAAATAGAAATTCTGGGGGGCTCAAGTTAATGAATTAAAATTACTTCTAAAAATTCTAGTTACAAACAACACGAAAAACGTAATTTTCCTAAACGTTCGAATCCTAGGTGCTAATTTCTTGTTGATAAATCTGTATTTTACATCAATTTATTATTTTTAATCATGAATTTTTACCAAATCTTTCTCTATTTTATTTTGTTTTTATTATTTCAATGTCTGTCTCAAGATATTAAATACAAAATGCTGATATTTACCTTAATATCTTTACTATGAAACCTTGAAATTGTATTTTTGTTTGTTTTTTTTTTTCAATAAGTTATTAATAAGAACTACTTTTTTTCACCCACGTATTTATTTCAAGACTGTGATTTTGAATCTTGTCCTAATATTGATTTTGTAATGTTTCCAAATTAAAAATTTTGATTCATCTTTCGTAAACACTGCGAATACATGTTTAAACTTAAAATTTGGTTTTACAATTCTTTCTAAAGTAGAAAAATTTTCTTTATTTCTTGGGGTTCTTTGTTTTTAACATTTTAAAATTTTTACTAATTTGTTAAATTAAAATCGAAAACTCTTATTTTTCTCTAAGCCTATGTTGGCATATTTTTTTTTATAGCAAAATCGTTAAATTTCTTTTTTAATTGTTCAAATATTAAATTTTTTATCAAGCTTCAATCTATGTTGACTTTTTATTTTTAAATCTGAATTTTTATTACATCGTTTTTTCCTTTTTCAGTATTTTAACGTCTCGAGATAATCTTACTTTTTTTCATTTGCAAAATTAAAAAAAAAATTCAATTAGTTAATTTTACATAAACCATTTTTGTCGCTTCCATTTTTTAACAATAAATAATTAAAGAATCAGTTCAGCCTTCCTGAGGAAGTGAATAAACAGTATACGTTTTATGTTTTGTTTTTTGATTTATTTTTTATTCATGTTTTATGTTACGTAATTGAAAAAAACTGTAATTATTAAACAATGAAATTTTATAATTATGTGTTATTTTATATGTATATAATATTGCAAAAAACTAAACCACATCAAAAAATAGCACTAATAAAAAAAAACGCACGCCACTGGTAACAGTACAAATAAAGTAATTATAAATAAGCGTTTTCATTGGCTCAGAAAACTTGTAAAATTTTATGAAAATAACTCAAGTCATTTCGGAGGAACAAATAGATTTTAATGTTTATCATACAACTTTATCACCCTGTATATCCGTAACAAAGCATAGGACTATCGTTTATTTGACAAGATGGTGTTACTTTTCGATGTAGAATATGTGGTTGTAATTTTTCGCAATGTTAAGAAAACACCCTGTATATTCACCTTACAGGTGTGCCAACCCCTAAATATTAATAAAACTGCTTACCTCAATTAAAATATTCAAAGCAGCCGATATTTCTCGTGTTATTTTCCTCCCAACACTCAATTACAACTCAATGAAGACCAATTAATTGTTCCATTGTGCACAAGAGCTATTTTAAACAAATTAACTGACTCAAAAAGCCCCCTCCGCCGACATGATCAAGGCGGCCGCGAATCAAAACCAATTTTTCTTCGGTTATCAAAACAAACAAATTGATAACATTTATAGCATAATAATTAATGACAAATTACCATCATTTATGTTAATAACACAAAGTCCAATCAATTGACATAACCTCACTTACCACCACACTGAGTGGAGTCTCGAAGTGCCGTAGAACCACCACCGTGATGGACTTCCCCTGAGCAACGGCGATTTGCGACACCACCTCCTCGGTGGTCACATCCCCTGGAAGGTCCTGGAGGAGCGGATCGGCCGCTATTAACCTCCTCAAACTGCTTTGAGTGATTTCGCACAAATCCTCGTGGCTCAAATTATCAAGTTCTTGATCCAAATCCAAACTCTGCTTCTCCTCATCCATTCTAAACACAAATAAACACACAAGGTGTAGTAAAATCAATATTATCACAATTTTTATTGTTGTAAACACGTGTAAACGAAAGTCACGTGACGCGATTTGACGTTTATTATGCGCATGTTGAGGTAATTAATTTTTTATAAACCACAAATCACTCAAATCACGCCAATTTGCGATTATTACACGACTTTGATGAATAGAAATTTAGAAAGGGGCTTTGAATGATTTTTTAACTGTTTTTACCCAATTTTTTAGGGACATTTCAATTTGGGTTTGACAGGGTTTAGGGGAAACACGACCACTTGATTCATTAAAAATTTAAAACTCACCAATTTTTCTAATTAAAAAACGCAATCATTCGAGCGTTAATTGTGCAACCTTCTGTTGATTAAATTTAAATGTTTATGATCTAACAGTGAAAAATATTTACAAGGCAACAAGTTGACCAATTCAATCGTTGTCGTAATTGTTCTTACAACTGTCAAATATTTACATGGCCTACTGTAAACCCACCTGTGACTTTTTCTTACGGTTCACCTGATGGTCATCCAGTTTGAGTCATAAACTTGTAGTCATAAAATTCGGACTCGTGGCGTAAATCTTTTGCTTGATCAAATGGCCTTAATTGATAACAAATGACTGTCAATTAATTGTCCTAATGCGATTCGTGACCACTTATTAGAAAAACTACAAGAATTGTCAGTTTATGACTAGTTTTATGACAAACTCTGATCGTCTTTTGTCCTTCCACAAGTTGCAGCCAACGCGATTTCTTCATCTGGTAAGTTGAGGGCCGCTTTGTGCCGTTACAGAGTGACTAGTAATCACGTCGTCTGTGCAAATTCACAAAACAAGTGAGTAATAATTAGAAATCAATTATTTATTATTATTATTGTTTAATTAAATCATGAAAATGTAAAAAAAGTGAAAGTTTGGTGATGATTACATCCGCGCCTTTTTTGGTGGTTTCAGCGCAAAAATGCACACGTCACTCATAATCCTGTCTTTGGTGGTGTTCGTGGGGGCTAAAGACATGATGCGGAGCATAGTTTTCGACAAGAACACCCCCGACGTGTTCTACTGCCCCATCCAGAAGCCCTCAGGTTTTGACAAAATGATCGTCAAGTGGGTACTTCACCGTCCTCAAACCGTGTCTAAAGTCACATTTTAGGGCGCGCCCTTTGAAAAAACTCTGCGAATTCGAGGGTGAGCCCTTGCCCGACGACTACAAGAGCGACTGCTACCAAGACATGGACGAGACCAAATACGCATGCAAAGAAAAATACCGAATTATGGTAATTTTCCCCATTTTTGTGACATCCGGATTGGTTATAACACGTGTAAAATAACGGATTTTTTTCCAGAAACGGCTCAAAAAGGCTTCAGAGGAATAACAACGCTTTCATTAACCCCCTCCCCCCCCCATCTCGCTTCATTAACTTAATTAGTATTATTTATTGTAGTGGTTGTAGGGTTTCCTCCCCTTTTTCCCCTTTAATCGACGTTCTGAAGATGGGTACGTAACAGATAATAACGAAAGAGGGCGCTGCTTGCTTGGGTGGTGACTGATTTTGTGACGTCATCTCACTGTAATTTTTGACAGATGCGGATGCATCCGCCCGGAACCGACGACCCGTTCGATGGTAAAAGACTCGCGAGATTTATTGACGTTGATAAGGAATTTTACGTAATGAAGATTGATAAGAAGACTCATTTGAAGAATAGGTTGGGCTGACGTAGCTGTAGTCACTTCCACTAACTGTAAATACTAAAATTGTTAATAAAGTTTTTTCATTACTACATTATTTGGTTTAGTTAAAAAATAAATTAAAAAAAACTTGGATATATTTTATAAACACACACTGACGTACACATGACACACAATAGAAAAATGACATAAAAAAGGATAAATACTCATAACATAAAAATTTGGCATAAATTGACTCAAACACAACTCCAGGAACAAAAAATCAATGTGTAATCCTTATTTCAAAATTATCCCCATTTGAATTAACCACTGTATTTTTGGGGCTCATCCCCCTATCAAGCGAATCCTCCTTCCTCCTATGACTCCTCCGATTCCTCGACTGTTCATTACTCAAACTCGTGCTTTGTGTTTTATTCCCAAGACTCGACGTCCGACTCGTGAGACTACTCTGACTCTCATGGTGTCGTTTTCGTTCCCAGGTGGCGCTGTCTTCCTCCGATTTCGAACGACTGTCACTTGTTTTAAAATAGGCACCGTTTAGATTCCCATTTTGTTTCCAAACACGCAATCGGTGACTGATTTCGCCGAAACTGGGACGTCGAACGGCTAATTCGGCCCAACATTCCACCATTAGGGCGTAACAATAGCTGGGGCACGCGTCGGGACACGGGAGCAGCTTCCGGGATCGAATCATATTGATCACTTCCTGGTTGTTGTAACCGTAGTAGGGTTGCAAACCGTAACTGTAAATCTCCCACAGGACGACTCCGTACGACCAGACGTCACTTTCGGTGGTGAATTTGCCGTAGAGGATGGACTCGGGGGGCATCCAGCGGACGGGCAAGAGACTCTTTGATTGCACCCTAACAATGACAGATTAAAATTAGACTGAAAAAAAAAATTTTTTTTTTCAAATTTAAATTCATTAACTGTAGGACGTGATCAAATGACAGTTGCCATAGTAGAGGTCATAAAAACCAAGAAGGATATCGATGGAAGGGATGCGCAGAGACGAAAACTGATCGTGGACGAATCCAGGGGAGTTCTGAGATAAGCTGAGAGCAGTGGCGTGTATTCGCTTTTATTTATTTGAACAAAACAAATAATCCATATATTGTAATGAAAATATTTTGATTTTATTACTTTACTACCAAATAACATTTTTAAGGCATTTGTTCTTTTATAAATTGCAATACTCAGTAACCATTTGAGAAAGTTATTAGAAATTGTTCAACAAGGTTTAAAATTATTACACTAGCGAACACGGAATTTTGGACATCAAATTTATGTCAGTTCAAAAAATGTCAATGTAAGCCACGCTTTATTGTCATCATGATTGACATTTGAAACTAAAATTTGAAAGTTTTAATTGAAATTTAATTTTGGCGTCGATTTTCCGAAACAATAATGCCAGCAATACGTATTTTAACATAGGTTCAATAAATTATTTTGATTTGTTGTCATTTTTTCTATAGCTGTCAGGATAAAAATTACAAAAACCGAAAGTGAGGTTAGTTGTTTAAAGTCCGTTTTACATTTTTTTGTCAGTCAAATGACAAATTGTCCAAAATTCCGTGTCCCCCAGTGTATTAAAATTCTTACATCTACTAGGTATGATAACAAAACATCACTAAAAATGTTTAATATACCTACTTATTAACAGGGGCATCTAATAAATATTAACTTTGAAAAATTAATTAAAATTAATTATGATACAAATATTGTTTTTTAATATGTTTATATTATTAATAAACGAATCTATTCGTTACTTTTTCTTCGTCTTTTATTTGTACAGAAATTAATTAATATCACCGTATATTTGAAATAATCGTAGAGCATCGTATGAATTTTTTATATTTAATATCTCAGTCAAAGAATATAGGAAAAAAATGCAATTCCTTTTTTATCACAGAATAATTCTGTGTTACGTCACTGCTCAAGTTTCCCCACTATCGATATCCTTCTTGGTTTCTATGAGCTTTAACATGCAAAAGTTATCAAAAACCGTTCACGGGATACTTTCCCCAATCAACAGGACGTGATCCAAAAACTTACCGGTAGTAATCGCAACTGTACATATCCCTACTGAGTCCAAAATCGCTGATTTTAACAACCAAATCCTTGGAAACTAAACAATTCCTTGCGGCCAAATCGCGATGAACGTAATGATTTTCGGACAAATATTCCATTCCTTGTGCAATCTGTATGGCGATATGTAAAAATTGGTTCTGGGTCAAACTTTTCCCTTCACTTGGTGAATTCGTGATTAAAAATTCGTGTAAATCACCCTAAAAAAAATTGTGGTAATTTAACAAAAAATTTTTTTGATTGGTTCACCTCTGACATGAATTCAAACAACATACACATAGGTTCCTGTTTTACTACCACTCCTAGTAGACAAATAATATTTGGATGTTTCAGTTCTGAAATTAGTTCAATTTCGCGCTGAAAATCAGCCTGTGTTTTGGCACTGGCATTTTCTTTCAGTGATTTTACAGCAACGAAAATTTTCCCATTTTTTGTTTTGAGTTCACCTTTGTACACTTTACCGAAGGCTCCTTCGCCCAACTCCTCCACAAAAGCGACTTCTTTGTAGGTGTATTGGGGGACGTTCTGATAACCGTTTTTCGTCGAGTGGGAGTTACGTTGTGGGGGGATATTGGGGGGGAGGAGACTGTTTAGTTCCATAGGAGGGGCATTAGGACTACCACTACCATAAATATTCTTATCAGCGACGGGAACATTCATCTAAAAATCAACATTTTTTTTATCAAATTTACAATCATGATAATTGACTAACATTTTGCAAGTTACGTGCAAGTTTATTTCTTCGTCGACAACAAAAAACGCCAAATAGCACAACACTAAAAACAGAGACGGCTATGAAAATCCCAATGACGTACATCCAAACAACGTAGGCTGTGAAATAACGTCAATTACTTAATTAAACAAGTGACAAAACTTACTGCACTTGGTGACGTCACAAGTTTCACGACGAATCGGATCACCATCGACGTAACAAAACGGTTGTGATTCAACGCCACCTGGATTTCTGTAATTTCACACAATTGAAATTTAATTAAAATTGTAATTAGTTAACGCACCTGCAATAATTATGACCGGTGAGTTCCGGGTGTTCAGATAAATGGATGTGGAATTGGTGCGCCCATCTCAAACACTTATTACCAAATTCGCTCATATTTTGAACACCCCTGTATAACTCGCCGTTGTCCCAATAGCATGTATCATCTAAAAATATTTTTTTAATTAGAATTTCAAATTTAAATTCGCTAACCACAGGATGTGATCAAATGGCAGAACAACGATTACCATGGTAACAAATTTTCAAAAATTATTAAAAAACCGTTCACAGGATACTGTCTCGCGTCATGCATTTTCTAATAACAGGACGTAATCCAACACTTATTCAATCACTAAACTTTAAACTTTATAGAAAAAAAACTATCCTTTAATTAGTTTTTTAATAATTTACATTAATAATAATTTAACAAGGAGACATCAGCAAATTTTAATTTTAAAATTTGGAGGTCAAGACGTAATCAAATGTACGAAAAGAAATTAAAAATTTACGTAAAATTTTTTATAGACATACAGTCAAATTAAAAAAAAAGAAATCGTCAATGTCACATTATGGCCTAAAATTAATTATTTCTGTCTAAATGGACGTACTTAAATTTACAAAAATAAATTACTTGGCATCATGAACTTTGGTAATTTGTCATCAAATCAATTTTGTTGTCAAAATGTAAATAATAATATTCATATTTTTGAAATGACATTGACGACCACTTTTTTTGAATTTGACGGTGAATATTTGAAAAAATAATTAAGACAGCTAATTGCAATCAACATTTTTCGATACTTTTTAAGGTAAATTGAAAAAATCATTCAAAGAGAGGTTTTCTGTCCCAATGACAGCATCTAAAAATATGTTTTTTAAAAATTGGGTTTTTCAAAATTAAATGTACTAATTACAGGACGTAATCAAATGACAACTATTACCATAGTAACATGTAAAAATTGCAAAATTATTAAAAACCATTCACTGGATACTTTTCCTAGTCAAACAATTTCTATCGGCAGGACGTGATCCAATAAGAAGTAATAAAATAAGATATCACAAATACAAGAAAGAAACTCAGGATATGTTAAATATTTACGTAAAGGGTTTTCTAAACACATAAACGCTTAAAAAAAGGTAATTATAATAAGAATTTAGAAAACTCTAGCAAAATTTAAAAAAAAGTTGATGTTCTCACATCCTGTCCCAATTAATACAGAGTGGTTATAAATGATTTTCATCTAGCCAGCTTTGGAATTTTTTTGCATGTAACTTTATTTGTGCCGCTCTACTTTTTTGAAAACTCTAGTTCTGTCATTAGTGTCACTTATTAATTAATTATAAATTGTTGTTAATTGAACTTTTATTGTTTCAACTAATTTCCAATAATAACTGATAATGATGTACCTATACTTTAGAAGAAATCAAGTTTATAATTGAAGTCTATTTTCGAAGTGGACGCTTAGTAAACGGCGATTTTTTGATTTTGAGTTAAAACAAGTAGGTACCCCTATTTTCGTAAAGCGGCATTTTTTCTTTTACATAGGAAATTCACAGCTGGCTAGATGAAAATCATTTATATATAACCACTCTGGATAATTACTGGTCGCCGATTTTTCGGCTTCAAATTGTAATTTTTCTGTATTTCAATTGTAAAAAAAAATCCGTTCATCGGATCCTTTCACTTGCCTTTATTGACACTCTCATGATCCACTCCCAATTCGAGACAATTCCTCGAACTAGCTTCGGTTTCATTCGGCAAAAACTGACACTCTTCCAACTCCAAAGTCTTCCCAATGACCGGATGTCGTTTCGCAATGGCATACTCCTTACTACACAACTCAGTCTCCAATAAAAGACAATCTTCTTTACAAATTCTCCTCAATGAACTCCCCAACTTATTCCTCAAATTCTTAAAACCGACATTATCCAATTTAAAGCGATTCATTTTCGTCGTCTGATACATATTGACTTTTTTCGGATCGGTACACAAGGGAAAAGCCGAGTAACACAAACTCGGTCGTGCAAATTTATTACAACTCGATGAAATATCACTAGAAAAAATTATTTGTAGTTATAATTAATTATAATTATGACGTACTTTGACTGCGAAATGACCAGAAAAGCATCACTTAGCATTAATTCGATGTCTTTTTGACTATACGGGGGCTGTACAAAAACATACTGATTCTCCAAGTAATCTTTACAAGTCTCCCCTAAATAAACTTGACAAAACGGCTCACTGAGATTATAAGGCCGTTGCAACGTATTTGTGATCCTCTCATGAGGCAGTTCTGCCAACTTGGCGTCGAAAATTGTCCCTGCTGGAATCGTTGTAATCTCACCGTCGAATTTTAGCGCAACGGTGCTATCAATGCGTCCTGATTCCGTCGCGACGTCTACTAACGCCTGCGATCGGATTTTATCGATGCCGTTCGTCGCCGTACAGTCGTAGAAACCACGATCGAAAAATTCGACGTCGTTAATACGAAGCATGGATCGATGTTTGTGATCACTGGACGATTTTCGAATAATGATACGATCATTGCGTTCGACAGGAACGTTGTTTTTGCGCCATGTGATGGAAACACGATTTGTGTTGTTCAAATCGAGGTTTTGGACTTCACATAATAGACGAATGGTTTTGGTGGTGGCGTCGATCGAAAGGTTGGTAAGAGAACGGATGAAAACAAGAGTGTTGTTCGTGGAGGAGTTGTGGGGGATTAAGTCTTCGTCGTAGTCATCGTAGTCGTTGTCGTTGCCAAACACTGCGCAAAAAAAAACAGATTAAATTTTTTGTCATCGTGTATGCAACCAACAATACACGAAACGATTAGTTCATCGAATATTGTCACTTCTTAATGTTCAAGTTATGCAACCAACGGTCTATGTCTAAATAGTAATGTATAATATAATGTAACCCAGTTGGCAACAAAAAATTGATAAATAAACTTTACTAATTTTCCAACAAATTCATCACTTTCTTCCAATTTTTTTATTGGCCACATATTCTAGATACATAATTGTTGAAAAAAAAATAAGACAGGTAATAATAATCAAAATTTTACGATATTTTTGAGCTAAACCAAAATCATCAAAAAGTACAATTTTTTAAAATTAATTTTTCAAATTTAATTTCATTGCCATACTAACATGCAAAAATTTCAAAAATATTAAAAACAGTTCACGGGATACTTTCCCTTGAGAGGCATATCCTAACGACAGGACGTGATCCAAAAACAAGTAATAAAATCTGATGCGAATTACACCTATTTTGACACTTTTTATTCAATCACCAAACTTTAAAATTTTGAAAAAAAAAACCTATCGCCAACAAAAAACGATTTTATTCTATTGAATTTTAAAATGGAAAAATGAGTGGATTTTTATAAAATTTCGATTTCAGGACGTAATTAAAAGTACGAAAAAAAAAGTAAAAATTTACGGAATAAATTTTCTGGACAGTCAAATTAAAAAATAAGAAGTCAATGTCACATTTTGGCATAAAATTAATTATTCCTGTCTAAATGGACGTATCTAAATTTACAAAAATAAATTACTTGGCATCATGAAGTTTGATAATTTGTCATAAAATCAATTTTGTTGTAAATATAAATAATAATATTCATATTTTTGAAATTACATTGACGACCACTTTTTTTAATTTGACGGAGAATGTTAAGACAGCTAATTGTGATATTTTCGATATTTTTTTATGCAAATTCAAAAAAAAAAACATTCATTAAAATGCTTTCTGTCCAATAACTGCATCTAAAAATATGTTTTTTTAAAAATCAGATTTTTCAAATGTAAATGTACTAATTATAGGACGTAATCAAATGACAGCTATTACCATAGTAACGTGTAAAAATTAAAAAAAATATTAAAAACCATTCACCGGATACTTTTCCTAAATATGTTTATCGAATATTCTCATATCCTGTCCCAATGACAATATCAAAATACAGAGTGTTCAAAAAATCGCGCACTTCCTTGGGTAGTCCCTCAGAGTAGTGAAAAAATGTTTGAAAAATTCTGTCTGTCAAAAAATTTTGACATTTGACTTTTTTTTAAATCTATTTAATAATATTGATGATCTTGTATACAGGCTGTTCAAAAAATCGCGCACTTCCTTGAAAGGGAGTAATTGGGTAGTCTCCCAGAGTACTGAAAACATGTTTAATGCATTTTCTAACAGTAGGACGTGATCCAAGAAGTAATAAAATGTGAGGGCAACTTTGACACTTCTTATTTAATCACCACATCAAAATTAAAAAAAAAAAACTTACTACAGGTCGTGATCAAATGACAGGTCAACAATTGCCAAAGTTTCCATGCAAAATTATTAAATTACAAAAAAAACGTTCACCGGATATTTTCACTGACTATGTAGTTCTACATTAAAATTTAAAATTTTGAAACAAAAATTATCGCTTAATTATTTTTAGTAATTTACATTAAAACAATAAAAAACGATTTTATTGTACTGAATTTTATTATAGAAAGACAATATCAGCGAATTTTTATAAAATTGTAAAAATTGTTGCAATATTGTATGCAACCAACAATACATGAACCGATTAGTTCATCGAATAATGTCACTCGTTTATGTTGAAATTATGGAACCAAAGTGTTTTTATTAGACAACGAAAAATAGGTAACCCAATTGGCAATAAAAATCTCTGATCCCTTAATCCCCGACTCGAATAAATCAAAAAATCAAAACAAATCTATCCTTGAAAAGGCATTAGACAATTAAACGAAAAAATATTTATAATTCATCCACTTTTGTTTATACAAGTTGTGATTTATAGACTGACGTAACTCTAATTTGCAAAATATCAACAAAACACACTCTGTATTTATTTTCCAACAAATTCATCACTTTTCCCTAATTTTTCAATTGGCCACCCTCCAAAATCACAGTTCGAAAAAAAAAAATCAATTTTCTTAAGCACGCCTACACTACACACAACACATCGACATTCTCAAAATAAGTCTCTGATAAATTTAGATCTCGTCCGATTATAAACAGTTAAGAGCGTCGCGACGCCTTACAACGCACCAGAATGAGATACGATGACTCGACGTGCGTTTCTCTCACTTTTCGAAACAAATTCGAATCGGATCAAAGTTAGTCATGTTATCGGGGTCGAAAGCTTCGCTTCGCGCGCCATTGGAGGAGGGTTAACGAGACGCTTTGTGATTGGTCCATTACTATCATTTGTCAAAAATCAACCACGTTGGATATGAAAATGCCGATCAAGACATTGTTGGTATAAACGGAAGAAGTTAAAAGCAGTGACAAAATTAAATAAACGTGAAATGGTTGTGTGTGAAGTGTTTATTTACGGTTTTCGACGTTTGGTGTTTTTAAACGATTAACAGAAAAGTTATGTCGAAATCAATGAACATGCTGAGAACCAGAAGACGGGATAATAACGTTAAACCGAATCGAAGGTATTTAAATAAAAGAAAAATTTGAAAAAAATTGTACAAGTTTCAAAAACACAAAATTTTTTTCTCAATTTTACAGGGATGCGCCTGTTCGCAGGTCAGTAGGTTTGGGAATTTTGATTTAAACTGATCTAACACGGATTTTGGATTGTTTTTTTTTAACAGATTTTCTTTTTTTGAAAAACGATTTTCGGTGAAAATCCTAAATTTTCTTTTCTTTAGGTTGGATCGGAAATCTTCCAGAGGGATGATCTACGAAAACGAAGAACTCAGGTTGAGAACCATCAATATCAATGCGGAAATTGAGAGAGGTACAAAGAACTGATACAGGGGGTTTTCTTAATATTGCAAAAAATTGCAACCACATCGCATACAGGCACGCCACTGGATATTTTTATGTTTCATTAGCGTTATAAAAGTTAGGTGGTTGCAATTTTTTGACAACATCCTGTATAGTACATAAATAAGAAAAAACATCTACAGGGTGCGCCAGAACTCGTGCTCCAGAGAATAATTTCAAGTCAAATAAGATAGCAGGAACATAGAAAAAATGTAAAAAAATTTTGACATTTACTTTTTGACATTTGACATTTTTTTTATATTTATTTAAGGATACTTATGATTTTGTATATGTTTTTTACAATTATTTAGTAAAGGTACAAAAATTTTGCCAATAAAAGCCAGAAATAACATTGAACAGAGTTACAATTTAGGATACAGCTTCCTTGTTTCCTTTTCTAATAACCTGTAGCAAAAAAACTTGAAAAATTATTTTTACAACAGAAATAAATAGAGTAAAAGTGTAAAATTTGAACTCTCATAACTTCGAATTTTTTCCCTGGGGCACGAGTTCTGGCGCACCCTGTATAAGTAATAATCTTCAAATATTATTCAACAGTGCAAAAAATTTGACGTTTCAACAAAAATATTTATTTTTACCAAAACACTAAAGCAATAAAACATAAGTAAATATTTCATTCGTTATAAACACTTGCGAATTCCGCAAAACTTTAAAAAATTTGTAAAAAAAAAACGTAATTTTATCTAAAATAAAAAAAAATAATACTCAAAAGTCCTAATAAATACCGGATAATGTTAAATGACCGTGTTTTTTGTGTTGTTGAGTTGGCAACAATTTTAAATATTACTATGGCCACCTTGATTTTCAAACTCAAATATCACGTTTTTTTTTAAATGACTATGAAACATCCTGATTCTGATACCAAACATTTAATTAACTTTCTGATCAAAGTGGCCTGCGTTTGTGTAATTAAGTTGGCAACGTGTAGTGACAGATGATATGACACTTGACAATTTTCATATTTTCAAAGCAAACTTTGACCAGAAATTTCACTTAAAACGATTACAAACAACTCAGTGTTGCCAACAGACTTTTATGTCATATTTGTATGCAAAGATGAAAATAAAAACAAACAAAATAATAGAATGTTGTTTCTCTCTATTTTAGATTTACATGTTGTTGTAATGAATGAATTTGAGTGTGATTTGAAAAAAAAAATAAAAAATTCGGTTTTTAAAAATGTTCTAAAATCTAAAACTGTTACAAACCATAAAATTTGAACTACTTGCACGCAATTAAGTGTCTATAAAAAACAAGGAAGCAAAATTTATGTATGTGGAACAAGTAAATAAGTATAAAAATTATTTAAAAAACAAAACATACTTAAAGTAATCGCCAATGATTATTTAGGCAACCAAAAATACAGGCTTTTTTCTTAATTACTGTGCTATTTTTGCGCCAAACACAAAGCTAGTCACACGAAAATACTTCAGGAATTCAGTTTAGTACAACATAAAAATTACAAAATATAATAATCTGCGAGCTTGGCCTCATGCCATTGCGTCCAAACAGGAAGAAGTTAAGTGACGTCATCGTGATCTACGCCACTGGTCAAGTAACTGTACAAAATTCTTTTTTTTTTCAATAATGTATCAAATATTTGCGGTTTCTCGAGCAATAAAACGTTCTCAATATAACACAGCAATTTCAGAAATAATTAGCGTGCTGACACACGCAGAAAATAAACTGCGAACCTTGAAGAAAGACCTCAAACACACTGCATTTCTACAAATAGACACGAACACATAAAAAATAGATATTTTTCAATCGATTTACTTAATTCACTCGTTGATTAAGTGTAATTTCAACACATTTTTTTCACGACTGTTTATGTCTCGATAAATAATTGGTACGCCACTGAAAATGTCGGAAAGTAATAAAGATACCAAAATTATCTTATTTAATTCTTTTATCCTTTAATTAATTTCACTAAACAGTAATTAAGTTGACCATTTTACGACACTGGATTAGAAATAAAGAAAAAAAACAGACGAACATCATGTAGCTAAAAATATCCAATTCTAGTGTAAATACAAGATTAAATGTAAAAAAAAAACCAAATGACATTCTAATCATATTCAATAAACAAAATCTTGCGTCAATCAATAACCTCAGAAATATTAGTTTAGATAAGCGATCCAAGCATAATAAATATATGATTGAAGCTCTCAAATTTTTAAACGTCCTATAAATAACGAAAATCAAAAGAAAGAAAGTTATTTGTAAAACAATCGAGTGGTCATTGGGCTTTTTTGTATATTTTTAAACCGGTAGAAGAAACGTTAAAAGTGGGCCATGATAATTTGACGTATGACACGAAAAAATGCAAAACGATCAAAGCCAACTTTGCGTAAAAAGTGGATATGAGCAAAAATACTTATGATTAATTACAAAGCCAGCTGATGTATATTTACACCAACGTCGACTTAATTTAGATGTTTAAAATTGTCATTCTAGGGTCAAACATGTGCTAAAATGTAAATTCCAAAATGGCATTTAGTCGATTTTCAAAAGCCATTTTCATATTTTATTGTCAGATTTGTGTTTCGTTAAGTTGCATGGTTGCTGTCTACGCCACTGGAGCGGTTGGCAGAAAGTTAAAACCCAAAATTTGGTTACAAAAATGTCAAAGCCTTGTTTTAAATATAAAAAGGGTTAAACACATTGAAACAAATAAAAATTTGAACGATTTTAGATGTTTAAAAATGTCATTCTGGAGTCAAAAATGTGTTAAAAAGTATAGTAAGCAAAAAAACTATACAAAATTAAGTGACATTTAGTCAATTTTCAAAAGCCATCTTGACATTTTAATATCAAAATTTGTGTTTTTAAATTTCACGGTTACTTTCTACGCCACTGGAGCAGTTGGCAAAAAATTAAATGACTAAATTGGAGTCCAAAAATGTCAAAAATCCATTGTTTTAAATATAGTTTTGGAAACAATAAAGTAAATAAAGATTTTAACGAATTCAGATGTTTAAAACTGTTCTGGAGTCAAAAATGTGTAAAAATATACAGTAAGAAAAAAATTGAAATCTCAAAATACAAAAATAAAAGGCATTTAGTCAATTTTTAAAAGCCATCTTAACATTTTAATATCAGTTTGTGTTTTAAAGTTTCATGGTGACTTTTTACGCCACTGGGGCGGTTGGCAGAAAATTAAAACCCTAAATTTGGTTACAAAAATGTTAAAACCTCGTTCTAAATATGAAATAAATAAAGATTTGAACGAATTTAGAAGTTTAAAATTGTCATTCTAGGGCCAAAATGTGTAGTAAAAAAAAAGAATTCCAAAATACAAAATTAAATGGCATTTAGTCATTTGACATTTTAATATCAGATTGATATTAAAAATCAGATCAAAAATGTCGAAAATCCATTGTTTTAAATATAAAGAGTTTTTGAACGAATTTAGATGTTTAAAACTGTCATTCTAGAGTAAAAAAATGTGTAAAAAAATACAGTAGCATTTAGTCAATTTTTAAAAGCCATCTTGACATTTTAATATCAGACGTCTGTTACCTTGGTTACCTTCTACACCACTGGAGCAGTTGGCAGAAAATTAAAACCCTTTTGGTTACAAAAAATTACAATTAAACTGTGATTTATAGGTTTTCGGTTACACAACCGATTTAGTTACGTAAATAATTGTTTTCCCACTCCGAATTATGCTCACCTTCGACGTGTTTACATTCTAATTTTGAACAATAACAAATGTACATTTTACGACTGTCATTTTTCCGAATTTTTCGTTTCGTAATAGCATAAACACTTGATTTTGATTTTTTTTAACAACTCATGTTTTCATTTAAAGGTCAATACGATATAAAAAAATTGAAACGTGAAAATGAAATGCTCAAGAAGGAAATCTGGTGTTTGCGCGACGAGTACGACAAACTCGATAAACTCCTCAAAGAAAAAGAGTACGAATTTTCCTCTTCCTCAACTACTTGTAGTACAAGCGATTCGGTGAGTACATATTTAGGAAAAAAAATCCCCAAAAACGTGATTTTAGGAAAGTTGCAGCACTTGTAGTGACGAATCTGAAGAAGTTGAAACGTCCCAAAACCTCCAAAACGTCCAAAAAACCAACATGAAAAATCTCCATTCCGAATTCGATCACTTATCAGTTGTACCGGAAGAAAACAGTACCGAAAATTCCGATAAAAACTCGCTCCAAGAAAATGTTATTAAACCCGACCAGACTTATGAAAACCCACAACCCAAAAATTTTTTTTCACCCATTACAATAAGCAAAGATGATGAATTTTTTAGTGAGAAAATAGTGCCAACTGATGCGAGTAATTTTTACCAAAATATGATTCTCGTGCCGAACACTGAACCAGTACCATCCATGGGCAAAACCACGACTGACTTATTAGTAAAAACTGACAATCACCCATTTGATGGTACTCCCAGTAGAAGCACTTTTAGCAATGGAGGAAACCTAGAAGAGTTACTCAATGATATCGAAACAATTTCGCAGGATATTTTAAAAATTACTAATGATCAAGTTGGCGAGAATGGTACCCAAAAACCGTACAAAAGTGAACTAAATGTGGTACTAATGCCAAACCCGATGCCACTCCTCGGGTTTGAGAAATACAGAAATCTGCAAAACAGTTTTGACAGTTTGCATTCAAAATCAGCAGAAAAACTCAACATCAAAGAGGCTGAAACTTCACCAAACATGCCTACCAACTGTGATCAAACAAATCCATTTTTCAGTGAGCAAAACTCGGATTTTTTCAACTCGCGTTACAACCCTGACAATTTCCAAAAAGGCTCAAAAACGAATCTTCTGGAACTGACCTCATCCGAGTTGATTTCAAGCGAAAATGAAGAGAATCTCAAATTTCAAACGTCAAAAACTGACAACCCTGAGGAGAAAAAATCCCCAAAAGAGAGTTTCCGCCGAAAAGTCTCCATCCATTTCAAGGGCAAAAAAGAGAAGAAAAATTCGATTTTTGATATAAAACTCGGGGCTTCTGAACCGAAACACCAGAAAACCCCAAGTCTAGAGTCGCGCAAGACCCCGGAACCGAAAACTTCCAGTTCCGGATCGGAGAAGAAGAAACCGGAGGAGAAAAAAGCGTCAGTGAGCCCTGACCGGAAACACGTCCATGTCAAAGACGAAAAAAGACACCGGAAGCATAGGAAGAGCCGTCGGGGGACTGTCACCAGCGTGGATCGGCGCTCCTTCTCCGTGTGCACCGACCGGTCGGATCACCGCTTCGGGGCCCCCTTCGACGACCTTCACTCCGAGCGCGAGCGCACCAACAGTCTCAGTAGTTGCGAGACGGTGAAAACGCGAAAAATGTCCAACATTTCCAACATTCCGCTCAATGGAAAAGTGCCGTGGTGTGCTTGTTGGGGCAATGGGTGTATTTAAACTCACCGAAAAGCGTCGATGTTGCGAGGAGGAAGACACAGAGGTGTTTATTCATGATTGGGTCACGACATTGTTCTGGGTCAAGGGGCCAAAAGGTCGATGCACCTGTATGAATCACAAATAAAGCAAAGTCTTAACTGGGGGGATTTTATTACTTACGGCAGATAAATAAATAAATTGCACTGAAAATAACGCTGATTTGTGTAAATATACACAAAGAATGTTTTGGGATGGTTTGACAGAAAAGTTACTAAAAATAGGAACGCACCAAAAAAATGTTGGCAACGCCAAGGAACGGAATTTTGCAGTGGACCAGCACAATAATCAAAATGCAAGACCAAATAACTGTATTTATTAAAAAATACATGTTTTTCAATTAAATCTTGTGTACTATAAACAAAATTTCAATAATACTAATTCTGACACGCTTTCAAAAATTAAACTTGTATGATTAGTTGCATACACCATTTCAAAAAAACACTGAAAATTTATTATTGGACAAAAATACACAAATGTTATAATTCTAAACGTTTATTCTAAGAAAAATCATTTTAAATATTTAATTTCAAAGAACAGTCATTGAAGGGCACATATTACCTCACTTCACGTTATAAAATTAAAACGTGTATAATTGGTTGCATACACAATTTACAAAAACCATTAAACATCTCTTATTGAATATAAATAAACATTTTTTTTAATTCTAACCGTTTATTCTAATAAAATAATCACCTAGTTAGGTTTTTGATTTCTGGGCACAATCATTGAAGGGCATATTATCCAATCTAGGAATTTCCTCCCTGAGCCTAACCTCATATTGCCCAGGTTGTATTTCCCTAGCCTGGATTACAGTAGCCCTTAATTCATTCTCAACTGCTTTCGAATAATTCACTAATTCTTCTATAGCTTGTAAATCAGTCACATTTTTACATTTTTTGTACTCTTCGTTAATTTTCAAACGTGCTTTGGTTAAAGCATTGTTATCCCCTTGAAAAACATACTTTCGGGCCTTGTGAAGGGACTTAAAAGCGTCCAAGACCTCACGACGTAAATTTTGAGCCATTTTTTTCAGAAAAACTGAAATTGTTAATTGTTACATAACCTCAAAAAAAAATGAAAATTAATGTAACGTGTTATTAAGTCTTACCAGTTTAATTTGTAACGTGATTTTAACTAGAATTTAGTATTTGTTTAAAAATTTGACCAAACTTTTGTTTATTTATGTGTGCAGGGTCGCCAACCCAAAACTGACATTTTTGTCGTCTTATCTGACATGACCCCTATTAGCTATTAATATTAATAAATTTTAATTTTCAACGCTACGAAAACATGTTTACCTAATTATCAGTCCGACTTTTAATTTTTCTAATGAAACAATATTTTAGAAAGTATCGCTTTTAAAAAAGTACAGTCAGGGTGACCAATACAAAAATTTTGAGCCATTTTTTTCAGCAAACTGAATTGTTACTTAACTTCAAAAGATATAATAAACGAAAAATGAATCTAATGTGTTAATAAGTCTAATTTGTAACTAGAATTTAATGTTTATTTCAAAATTTGGCCAACATTTTGGTCTATTTATATGTGCAGGGTCGCCAACACAAAACTGACATTTTTCTTGTTTTATTAGTTTAACCATCATTAATCCATAATTTTAATTTTCACCGCTATTAAAACATGTTTATTTAACTATTAATTGTTTGTTACAATTTTTGATCACGTTTGTTACTTTAGAAAGTATAGTCAGGGCTGCCAACACACAACCTCAATTTCAATAACTTTTATTAAAAAAAATTATAATACTTGGATTATCACCATTGTTAACAGCCTCTGTCAGGTCCCATTAAAAAATCGAATAATTCCTGTCCAGAATCTCTTTGACTTTGTTAATAAGTGGAAATTGTCGACTTTGGACATTTGAATCGACTTTGCACACCCCTAAATAATCATCAGCATTCAAGGAATAAACCATAACACCCCCAAATTGGTTGTCTCGTACAAACTCAGCCTAGAACCCCAATTAGGTGAACCCCCAACAAAAAAAACTCACCTTAAATGAAAGACTTTGTTCGTTATCAAAAGCCACCCATTCTGTCCCTTTAGTGGCATAGGGACTTTTCGCGTCCATATCGAAAATAGGGGAAATCTGATTCATGTTCAAAAATGAACAAACTTGAGAGTAGTCCACAAAACCGCCACTTCCGAGCTTCCCGTAGCCCCTCGCTGGGGCATACAGCCCACTATTGTGAATATTCGTCAATCTACAAAAAAAATATTATTTTGAGTGTGATTTTTATGGGAAATTTGTACCGAAAAGTGTGTCCATAAGTGGGCAAACCAATCACAAGTTTCTCCCTTGCCATGCCCTTTGACACCCAATAAAATGCAGTGAAATTAATATTGAGAGTTGAAAGGTACCCCTTATCCTCAATTGAGGGGTACAAAGGCGAGTTTAAACCCGTAAAAGGGGTCAATTTGGTGTAAAAATGGTAATCATAAGCCATCACATTAACAAAATCGACAAATTCGTTCAAATAAGGCACATCGTAGCAATTATCCACGAGGACAATGGGGGCTGCCACCGCCACGGTCACCAGAAACTTCTCCTTGTATTTATTTATCGTCATACGAAACTCCTCTAAAAGCTGCACGAAATGCACCTTCTGCTTCTTGTCCCTCCCTGGGGTCTCATTGGGGAACTCCCAGTCGAGATCAACCCCATCGATACTGTGATTCCGCACCAACTCGGCCACCGACCTAATGAAAACTTTCCGACTCGCGTGACTCAAAACCATGACGTTGAAACCCCCGTCATTCCCAGCCCCGCCCACCGACACCAAAACCTTCAAATTTCCATTGACCTGTTTCAGCCCCACGACAGTTTGGAGCGCCCTTAACTGGTCTTGAGTCAACTCCACACCATTGGGGCCCACCCTGGCGAACCCCACGTTGATGTGGGTGCACAAAAAGGGGTCTATTTTCTCAGGTTGGAGACTACCACTACCCCCTGGGAAATTATAATAGCACACTAGTTTAAAATCCGTGATTTTTGGCACGTCGTCTTCGATGGAGAGCAGCCCCTTGTCGAGGTTTCTGAGACGGGTGCTGTAGATTTTGGCACGATGGGGGGCCTGAACTGGCACTGAAAACACAAAAATAAAGTAGGGCTCCACTGAAGTTGTGACATACCTTCGATGTGACTTTGGGGGTATAAAAGAGTCTCGTTGGTTTTAAGTATAACCGTGTAAATACCACAAAATATTATCACAGGGACGGTTATAACCGTAATTATGAACAAAGTACGGCCGTCGAACCATCGTCTCCTAAAGGGGGCTAACTCACTATTTGTCAAAAAACAAACAATTATTACCTGTTATTTCCTAATAAAACGAACTGAGAATGGCCAGAATAAACGTCTGTCATTCTTTTAAGGTTATGTTTTTGTTGACATGAAACGAGGTCACGTGACCGGATGTGTTTCCCAGAATTTGAATTTATTAATAAGGGTTTAAAAAATTGATAAAACACAAATTTTGATGTGCTGATTACGTTTTTGTATCAAACTGAGGCTTAAATAGTTGAACAAAAATGTTATTGTAAAAGTAATACTCCATGATAAGATAAAAAACTAAATCCATAATTTGGCATTGTTAACACAATGAAGCCGTTATTTGCGTTGTTTTTTATATTCGTGGCTGTAAAATCATTAATTTATATAAATTGTGGTTTTTATGGGTATTTTTAGGTCAGAAGTGATGTCAGAGTGTGTAATAACATAAAATGCGAACCTAAAGATGAGTTTTTAAACGGCGAAACGGATGAATGGAATGACTTTATGGATAATTTAGTTAAAGAAACATTTAAAACAAGATCACTGTCCTGTGTGACTAACAGTTCTCAAATTGTTACAGTTGATCCAAGTGATGATATTGTCTGGGATTTGCGGTTTGTTAGTTTTTTTTTGTTAATAAATTAATTTAATTAATGTTTCAGGTTTAAAATTTACAGTGAACGTAAAATTGAAGGAGAGAAAACATTAAATGATTGTTATTGCGACTTTACTGATTGTAAAAGTGACGAATTTAGGAATTGTTTAGCTGAGGCAAGAACTGCAATGAAAAATGATGTACAAAAAGTTCTAGTGGGTGTTATTGGTCAATATTTAGCTGATCAAATGATGAAATGTTAAATAAATTAATTAAAATGTATGAAATATATAAATATTAATAAAAAACCTAAATTGTTCAAATTTACCGCTCTTCTGTAGTAATTTTTACATTTTGTGGCCAATGTTGCCATTTTCCTCCAGTCACATTATTCGGTTTTATCTTAATTTGCATAATTGTAATTTATAATTTTTATTGAGTTTTGATTAATACGTAAATACTTAAGCTATATAATATTAAAAAAATTAATCCCAATGTAATTTTTTTTGATATCCCCCTTTCATTGTGGCCACCCTGCTTGTCATCACCGCCATTTTCCTCGAGTCACATTTTCCCGTTGTGTAATTGTGTAATAGCCCCCAGAAATGGCCCAAAGCAAGTTAAATGACTTGGCCGGCAAGTTCGGCAAAGGGGGTCCTCCTGGACTCGGCCTCGGCCTGAAACTTCTAGCCGTTGGAGGCGCCGCTGCTTACGGAATCTCTCAAGCCATGTATACCGGTAAGCCCCATCACTTTCATTTCATTTTTTTCACTTGAGTTTAGTCGAAGGGGGTCACCGTGCGATCATGTTCAACCGCATTGGGGGCGTACAAAAGGATATCTACACTGAGGGGCTACATTTTCGCGTGCCGTGGTTCCAATACCCCATCATTTACGATATTCGGTATGTATAATTTATTCAGTGGGTTAGTGAGTAAGGGGGCTGTTTTAGGTCAAGACCACGCAAAATCTCCTCACCAACGGGGTCAAAAGACTTGCAAATGGTTAATATTTCCCTGAGGGTGCTTTCGAGGCCTAATGCGAGTCAATTGCCGATTGTTTATAGACAGTTGGGGCTTGATTACGATGAAAAAGTCCTGCCTTCGATTTGTAATGAGGTTTTGAAGTCGGTGGTTGCGAAATTTAACGCCGCCCAATTAATTACACAAAGACAACAAGTGTCGCTTTTGGTTAGGAGGGAATTGACTGAGAGGGCGCAGGATTTTAACATAATTCTCGATGATGTTTCGATTACTGAACTGTCGTTCGGGAAAGAGTACACAGCTGCTGTTGAAGCCAAACAAGTGGCGCAACAGGAGGCCCAAAGGGCTGCTTTCATAGTCGAAAAGGCCAAACAAGAGAGACAACAGAAGATTGTGCAAGCTGAGGGTGAAGCCGAAGCCGCCAAAATGATATCCTTTTTATGCTTTACTTTTCTATTATTCTTGTTTGTTTTTCCTTAATTTTTGAGTAATTTTGCAAAATTGCTGGTAAGTCGTTCCTGACTAAATTAGTTAGAGTAGTCATAGCCGACTAGCCAGATTTTTAGTGTCTAGTTCTTGTTTAAAAATTTTTTTCTTAACTTGAGTTTACTTAGGTGAAGCAATTTCCAGAAATCCAGGCTACTTGAAATTGAGGAAAATCCGAGCGGCCCAGAATATTTCACGAACTGTGAGTTTTTCCCCAATTTGAGTTTAAATTTAATTAAAAATTTCTAGATTGCTAATTCGCAAAACAAAGTCTACCTCAGTGGCAACAGCCTACTGCTGAATATTTCTGATAAGGAGTTCGATGATCAGTCTGACAAACTCAAACGTAAGGATTGAGTCTAGTTTTAAGTCAGTAGTGAGTGAAAATTTTTATATCGGAAGAATATTTCTTTGTTACTATTTGTAAAAATATTCCTAAGTCCCAAATAAATGCGTAAGTTGTTACGAAGTCTTGTTTGATTTTGTCACCCCTTTTGTAGGTTTTGAGTACGATGTCACAACGGGAAGTACTGATAAAAGTGTGCTGAGGACAGCACGGAAAGTGGCAACACGAATTGCAGGATAAAGTGATGTTTGGACTCTTGTAGATTTTATATTTTGGTTATTATTGTCCAATAAAGGCTTTTGTTTATTAATACTGCGTTTCTCTTTTAAAAAAATCAAATCCAGGGAATTTTTAGTGTTTTTTATTTCTGACATCAAGCTACACAACAATGGCAGTGTTTAAATCAAGCTAGGCCAAGCTGCGCTTCGTTTGTTTTCCCAGAGATAGATAGAAAAACTCAAACAGTAAATCTGTGCACAATAAACTACATCGTTGCATAATTCTAATAGAAAAATTCAAATTTGGCGCCACTTTTCAACGGCGCCAATTTCAAAATCAAATCCTCTATTTCGGTTATTTCACACATTTAAAAGCTTAAATAACCGGAAATTGGACACGTACCGTGTCATATAAATATATAAATTTGCCTGAAACAATTTTTGGTTCTTTTCGTTATCACAGAACGTCGTATAATTGCACGGAAAGAATTTTTGTACCTTGGAGTTGTTTCAACTCATTGTTTGCTTTAAAACGTATTCTAGATTAATACAGTCGAGGACAGCGCCCCCCACGGAACTTCGGCGAATGGACATGGACGCAACCACAGTCCATTTGTTCAATTTCGGGTCGTATTTTTCGACAGAATTGAGGCTTGAAGAGCCGTCGTTGCCCCCCAGGGCGTAGATGAAGCCGTCCATTGCGACAATTTCATGAGTGGACCTGAAAAATAAAAAGTACAGTGCAGAGCAGAACTAATACGAAGATGTTTGTACTGGTTTTTGAGCAAAATTTTGTTAAAAATGAAAAAGTACAGTGCAGGGCAAAGCTAAGGCGAAATACCTCCGATTATGCATCGCAGCGATTGGCTCCCAGGCATTTCTCCTCACATTAAACTTCTCCCCACTCGACATACACATCGTCCCGTCGTTCCCCCCAATGCAGTACAAATGCCCGTCATAGGCCACCACTCCACAGCTGCTCCTCCTACTCGACATGGAGGGGATAGGCGCCCATGTCCCCTCCCTCGGATCAAACCTCTCCACCGACGCTTGATAATTCGTAGAATCGAACCCCCCTAAGGCATAGATACAATTCTCCACCACTGCAATCCGACAATACCGCCTCCTGGTGTTCATCGCTGGACAACTACACCAAATCCCCGTCAAGGGGTCGTACCGTTCCATGGAACTCAAACAGGAAGCCCCATCGTAGCCCCCACACACGTAAATCAAACCATCGAACGAGCAAATGCCCAGACACGATCGTTTGGTCCCCATGGGGGTGATGGACGTCCAGGAATTGACCAAGGGGTTGTAGCACTCGGCGGTGGCGAGGTCCGAGTTGCCGTCGTAGCCACCGACGACGTAGAGGAGACGCCGCAGGCCGGTGACTCCCGAACGGGAGCGGCGCCACAACATGGGGGCGATGACGGACCAAGAGTCGTTTTTTGGGTTGTAGACCTCGCATTCGGAGTGGATAGCGAAGAGGGAACCGCCACCGACGGCGAAGAGGTAGGGGTCGGCGCCTTTGGGTTTGCGTTCGATGGTGCGAGAGGTCGATAAGGCACAGCGACGCTCGGGGGCTAAATGGTAGCGCATGGCTTCGAGGAGGAGCTCACGGCAGTCGCTGTCGTCGCGGATGAGGCGTTCGTTGTCCACACGTGTCATAAGAAACTCGCGGTTGACCAAGGGGAGACGCACGTGGACCATTAACTAAAAAAATTAAAATTTTACCGAATTATTAGGCAACCAACAATACACCATTTTTTGAAACTTGAAATAAAGACGAGAGTCAGTCAAGAGTTCTTTACCTACATGTCAAAACTCTCAAAACACAAAAAAAGTTGATCAGATTAGATATTTTATTAAAATTGTTGTTTTTTCAATATTGTGGTATGCAACCAGCAATAAACTCGTGATAATAAATTTTATGACCCACGCATAAAAACTAGAATATTTGATCATTAAACGTTTGCTTGTTCTGTAATATAGTCTTTTACGTTCAATTTGATGATTTAGTTGGTGAGGAAAGCAATTTCCTTGGTGTGTGGTTATGCAACCAGTAAATCACCCAAGGTGAAACCACCCACCTGCGAGATATACCGACTTCTCTCGGCCAAATCATGCTTCACCCAATTCAAAACCGCTGTGAAGACATCCTCCTCTGAGGAAATATTCAAGTGGCTGTTTGAAATCAACTCTTTAACTTCTTCAAACGGTAGTAAGAGAAACTCCTCGGTGGCCACCACCTGCTGGAAGTTCTGCAAGGCGTAGACGTGCGACTTGAGATGCAACTCTTTGCAACAATGCGTGTCTGCGAAACTCCTGATTCCGAGACAGTTTGTGGGATGGAGTTGCCGTAGCAGGAATTTGCAGCAGGCTTCGCGGACTTCTTGCATTTGCAGGACGCTGCTGGCCGGGAGGAGGACTTGGACGTTGTCGGGGGTGATGAGGATTTGGCCCGTGTAGGAGTACTCGATGAGGAGGTCGATGGCGGTGGGGTCGAGGTCGTGGATTGTGATTTCGCTCTGGTGTTGCTCTTTCATGTCGCCTGGAAGGTGGGGGTTAGTGAGGGTTGGGGTTTGGGGGGTACGTACCGTTGAACATGGCGAAAAAGTAGGGACTAACTGAGGCTAAGACCACCTTATGGGCGCTAAATCGCTCTAAGCCTATTTTTAACGTTATGTCACAGAGCTACAACAAGAAAACGTGCAAGAAAATGATGGCTAATTTATTCAAATAAACTACGGTGAATTAATTTCAAGACGAAAAGTTAAATTAAATTAAAACTGATTCATATAACGTTTTTTACATTTCTAGAGGTCCTAATGACTAAAAAAAGTGCATAAAACGTTACTGGGTTAAGTTTAAAAAATTAAGTAAGTTGAGTTGTCATAGTTTAATCAGGCCAAATTAGTCATAAAAATAGTGGTGAAATAACGAAAATTCCGACAGAGCTAAATTTTGGGGGAGACTTTAGGTACACCATTGGAAATAAAGTGTCAAAAGTCCCCATCGATCCCATGTGTGCTAAAAAAGTTATTCAGGATCAAAGGTCAAAATTTGAGGTTTTTTAATTTTTTTTCGAAAACGGTAAGTTTTATCAAAAAAGTAGCCCAGACAAAAATTATAGATCTTAAAATTATCTACAAAAATGGTCTTTATACTTCTTTTCTAAGAATAACCATTCCTGGGATATTGCGATTCTAAAAGTTGAAGGAGTAACGTTCTACATCATATTCACATACAGAGTGCGCCAGAACTCGCACCCCAAAGACAAATGCCATGTAGGATAAGGTACCAGGAACATAGACAAAATAAAAAAAAAATCTATCTATAAAAATTTCAAAGTTATGAAAGTTTAAATTTTACACTTTGACTATTTATTTCTGTTGGAAAAGTGATTTTCCAAGTTTTTTTGCTACAGGCTATTAGGAGCGGAAACAAGGAAGCTGTATCTTAAACTGTAACTCTGTTAAACTAATGACTCATAAAAACCACCCCAATAGCCTATAGCAAAAAAACTTGGAAAATTATTTTTCCAACAGAAATAAATAAAGTCAAAGTGTAAACTTTAAATCCTCATAACTTCGAAATTTTTAAAGATAATTTTTTTTTTAATTTTTTCTATGTTCCTGGTACCTTACCCTACATGGCATTTGTCTTTGGGGTGCGAGTTCTGGCGCACTCTGTATGTGCATATGATGTAGAACGTGACTCCTTCAACTTTAAGAATAGCGATATCTCAGGAATGGTGATTCTTAGAAAAAAAGTATAAGGACCATTTTTGTAGATAATTTTAAGATCTATAATTCTTGTCTGGGCTACTTTTTTGATAAAACTTACCGTTTTCGAAAAAAATCTAAAAAAGTCAAATTTTAACCTTTGACCCCGAATAACTTTTTTAGCCCACATAGGATCGATGTGGGCTTTTGACACTTTATTCCTAATGGTGTACCCAAGATCTCCACCAAAATTTAGCTCTGTCGGAATTTTAGTTATTTGAAATGTCTATTTTGAGTTAAAAAAATTATGATGAGTTATAGCTAATAAGTAACAGCGATATTAAAACAAATCAAATAAAAGGAAAGGAATTTTGAGAGGAAAGAGGAAAGTTAATTTTCTTAAAAAGCTTCAATGTTTAATTTTTTGTTACAACGAGGAACTCAAACTGTATTTTTGCGTATTGATTTTCGATAACATAGTGTTTGCTCCGAAACTGATTTTATTTAATAATTTTTTTCGCCTTGAAATTAATTCAATTTAAGTCCAATCTATCTCGTCTAAAGCGTCTTTCAGGGCGCCCCGACGCCCACCTAGGTCAAAGCCATCCACTTAACCGACTAACCTGTCCTTGCTGTTTCATTTTTTGGATATTACTCAGCGCAAAACTGCAATGCTCCACCGTCTTGAGGCAATACCCCTTGGGGGTGAACAGCGGCGACTCGCACTCCTCGTTTGTGGGGGTCTGCGTCGAGGCCTCGAACACCACGTTCACCGGAGGACTGCTTCCCGGAGACACGTCGTTGTCGCAACTCATTTTTTTTTCTTCTAAATAGTGAAAAAAGTGCACTTTTACTCACGGAAAACGCGCAAACTTACCCCCGTGCTAGCACCACACCATTATTTAAAAGTCAGTCAATAAAATTCATCGCGCGTTTGCTTTTATAGGGGCAGAGAGAGGGACAGAGATAGTGGGTAAGTGAGTGCGACGAGGATGGGGTGATGGGACGTTGGTGGTTAATCACCTCGTGGTCGTTGCCCCTGCGAGGGGTGCCAACTTTACGACATTTCTGTTTTGTTTGTTGCATAACAGAGCGGAAATGTTCGACGATCGATCTGATTTTCGAGAAAAGGTCGATGGGGGTAATAAAATAACCATAAATTATTTTTTATAGGCGGAGTCGCATTTGGGGTTATTGTGTTGGCATTCAATTTTTTTTCAATACTTTAATTACTAATCAATAATAAGCAAATTAATCATTATTTTAAACACACGAACTAATAAGAAAATAAATTAGCATAATTCTCTTTTTTTCCAATTTATTTTGCCAACTCTATAAAGTAAAAAATTCAAAACTTTAAATTTTAATGTTCACAAAACACAAGATAAACTCAACAATAAAAATAGTTTTACTATAAGGAAGTTTCTTTGTAATTACCGAATACTTGACCTAGTTTAGTTAAAACTGATACAAGAAAAACAATTACTTCAAAGTATACAAATTTATGTTATTGATGCGTCAGGCCACTTTTATGGTTTTTTAATGTATACAGAAACGTAATATCTGTTTTGGCAATTTGTTCAGAGACAAAATTATTTAAATCAAAGTCTTGTTTTATAAAAACTGAATTTAAAATTATAAAAAATTGACAAGGTTTAAAGAGGTATAATTGGTTGCCTACACTACAAATAAAATTATTTAAATGTAAATTAAACTTAATAAATTTGAACATTTATTGACACAGCCTGTATACATCACCATCTCTTTTGGTAAAAAACTTAAAATAATTGTACTCTAAAATGGCGGTTTGCGACTAGGATATTACAAGAAAAGCATTTCAAACAGCTCTAAAAAAGGCCACAAGCCATTGGGTATATTCTTTAACTTCTTTTTTCCTTTAGAAACTTTTCTAACTTCCTTTTTTTCGTTCACTGTGTATTCAACATTATTTTCCACTTGTATTTTGAAAGGATCATCCTCTTCAAATAAATTGCTGTCAGTGTCAGCCGGCAGTTGAAACACTTCCAAAGTGTATTTATTCGAAGCCGAATAGCCGTAAATACCAACAGCCATTGGTCTTTTCATGCTAAAAATTTGAAAAATTACTTTAGCCAAGACGCAAACCTAAATTTCAGTACTTTCTCGGAATCGTAACAGAATCAGTACCGCACGTTGCAGAATGAAAATCGTAAGAGTCAGGGTGGTAGGTGGGCGAGGGTGTCTTTTCAGAAACATAAACGTCGGCGTCACCTTCCCTGAAAAATTTTTCTTAAGTCGGGACGCAAACCAAAAACTGAAAAACCTACAAACTTTCCAAAACTAGCAATAAATTTCCAGGATGCATTATTTTATAATAAACGAATTCCTGGCCGTTGACTTCGCCCTCCAATTTGAACAGCGAGACTTTACCAGAGACGTATACCAGACACGACTGGAAAGTGAGGTTAAGTCAAGGGGGTACAAAATTGAGCCTTACCAAGAGAATGGCCAGTTGGGGTTGCATTTTTGCACATTGCCCAGCTCGACAAGAGAGAATTTTATCTGAAAAGCCCCCAAACTTGTTACCTTGGTTTGAAATCGGGTTACGTCAAAGTTACCCTTGAGTTAATTTTGGGGCTTTTTGGTGTTATATAAGGTTTGAAAAACTTGAATTTGTACGATTACGTGTATTTGTGTTTATAAATAAATAACCTACAAAAATTATTGCTGGAAGCGTCACCTATGTTGTGCAAAAATTTGTAACTACATAATGGCCATTACAGGACGGGTTGTGGTCCAGACTACTTTTTTTTATAAAAGTTGCGTTAAATAGTTTAATTTAATTCAAATTTAATTTAATTTGAATCTTTGTAAAATTAGAGTTGTTTGAAGTGAGACTGGTAAATGTACGATAAAAAGTATAAAGAAAATGGCGGCTACAATATGGCGTCAAGTTTTGCATTGTAATAATAGATGGTTGGAGCAGGAATCGAATTCGAACCCTCTTTCCTCTTTTATTCTTTTATTAGGGTATCAATGATAGTTTAGTAGGGGTTGGGGTGGACTAGGATTGCTTTGTTTGTTTTTCTAGGGCGGTGAGGGTTAATTCTAGTGTATTAATTCGTACCCTTGTTGTAGTAATCCTATTTGTATTATTTCTTTCTCGGATTTTAGCTCAAGTTTTTAGTTAAAGTTTTTTTTGTTTTGAAAATTTAAATAATGGCGCGCTGAATTCGCGAATTTTCGTCCCAATAAACCCCGCCAGATGTCTCTGTAATTAAATTCGCGAATAAGTTGTAGTTGATATTGAAATAATCGGTCTGATCCAACGTTTTTTTCTCGTTTATCTCTTGAATTCGGCGTCGTTTCCGTCGTGGCGGTGTGTGAGCCCCGTCGGGGGCTGCGACCGCCCCCAACGCGTGTAGATCGCGGTAGTCCGTGCCCGATTCGCGACTGTTTCGCCGTGGGTAAAGGTAGGCTTCGGCTTGACCTAATTTAAATTTTTTCGCTGAAAACTCATTCCGGCGGCAGTTTTTCCGGTTGTGTTGGTGTTGTTGGGTGTCGTGTTCGTCGGTGGGGCCCTTTTCCGGGCGCCGCGCGCTGGAAAATCGTCCGTCTTTGAGGTTACTTCGGATGGGTCCATTTTCCGGGGAAATGGGGCCTGCTGGCCCCCTTACGTAACGCCGACGCGGGACGACGGATTATTTGGGGTCGTCGGCCCCCTTCGGGGGTTGCGGGAGGCGGCGAGGGGGTAAGTGTCTACCACGACGTCTAGACTACTAGATTCGGATCAATAATACGGAAACGCCGCCACCGACTCGAGGGCTCACTTGCGGAATGCTTCTTTGGGGTTATTTGGGACTATTTGGGGCAATTCGACACGTGGAGCATGCGTCATAGACCACTTATTTGCATCACAAAAACGCGACCCCTTTTACACCGACTGGGGGGCGCATTTTTGAGACGTGATAGATTTTAATTATTTTTAACAAAACGGTGCTCGAGAGGCAAATGTTCCAGACAAAGCCTCCTGGATGAGCTTTTTTCTTGGGTAATTTATCGGTTAAACTTAATAAAATTTGGATCAGATGTCGAATAACAAATTAGATTGAGTCTACAATCAAAAAGCTTGAAAAAGGATAGGATGACTAGATCGATAGTACTATCAACGTAGCTATGGCGACGATGGTCATTTTTTTATTTAGGGATATTTTGGTTTTTAAATATTTATTACAAAACTATACTGCCACTTCTTTATGTATTGCTTGTATTTTTTTGGAAAATTGGAATTTGTTAGGGGAACACAATGTAGTGTATTGTTTAGTAGTTAAATCATTTTTTTATGGCCTACTGTAATGTGAAACTAAATATGTAGTTATAAATACATAACACAAAATTTAATAAATAATAATTTATAACAAAATTAGGCCTAGTATTTAAGGTTGATTCTAAATATATTCTTAGAAATTCTCTCACTTGTCCTTATTTCTCTCTCACAATCCTAAAAACGGTAAAATCATTAACACAATTAATTTTTAAAAAAGATCAAGTACGTTTATGTCATCATGTAAATTACAAACATGGCCGTTCAACTTATATCACTATACTTCGAAATAAGTAGGCGTGGAAAGATTTTATTAACATAATTTATTATTCCTTTTCTTTAGATTAGCTTTACATAAATTTGATCCATCACGTGAATTTTTTTAATGTGTGGTCTGAGGGAAAAATTGCGATGAATATAATAAAGTAGGTTTTTTTGCTGTGAAAATGTAAAATTTTGAATAGAGATGAAATTTTTCATCTTTTGTAAACTGACCAGTTAGGTTACAAATTTCCGCAGCTTTTTTTTACAATATTCTGTTATCAGTTAATTTATCTAAATAGACAAATATAGCCAGTCTTTGAGACAAGCAACATTTAATTAACAGGTTCAATAAATATTTAATTGGGTTTTTACTAAATCATGAAGGTATAAGACGTTTTAGTAGTAAATCATACATACACGGTGAACGCAAAGTATGTAATCAGCGTTTTTTTGTCATTTGTCTTCAGAAAATAATAATTGATAAAAATTAAAGTTCTATGAAAATATGATTGTGTTTTGAGATTGAAATTTTATTTTGTCTGTGAGTTAGTATGCGAGTTTTTTGTCAAAATGGCTATTAATATATATATTTTTTTTTGGGTAAAAATTGAACAAAATGCAGATAACTGTAATCCTTAGATCATAACCTATGTAAAAAAATACTTTTATCGTGGTTGACATTAAAAAAAGTTGCAGAACTCGAAAACATAAAATCTAAAAATTTGAAAAACTTTATTCATGAAAAACGTCAATTTTTTATAGTACTTTGTCATTCATCAATTATTTTTTTTATAATAAATAAATATAATAAATAAATAGTTAAAGTGAAAATGTTTAGTTATATACTTTTTGTTTACGTGGTATTTATTTTAATAAATAAGTAAGTAGGAGGATAGAAAAGAAATGGCGGATGGATTGAGAGACGATTGAAAAATTTGAAAAATTTTATTCATGAAAAACGTCACTTTTTTATAGTACTTTGTCATTCATCAATTAATTTTTTTTAAATAAATAGTTAGTGACAATGTTTAGTTATATACTTTTTGTGTACGTGGTATTTATTTTAATAAATTTAATAAGACTCGGCATTGGGAGATGTAATGTCTTGCTAATATTTATTTGTATTACAAAGAAGGAAAGTATATCTTTTCCTCCCACAGGTGGAAAAGACACTTTCCTCCAGACTAATACATATAATTTTTTTACGGCCCAGCAAGAAAAACTTCAAAACTAACAATTTCTCTTGAAATTTCAGTATTGCCCTTAAAAATCTAGCAGCACCTCAGGAATAATCCTACATTCCTTTCCCTTTACGTATAATATACTATTGTAATTTTGACAGATGAGGGAGGTAAAATCTACTTTTCTGAGAGGTCAACTTTTTATCTCTTTGAAGGGTAATTGGTCACTTTCCTTTCTGAAGTTAGGGTGGAAAAACTTACTTTCTGTTAGGGTCGTAGGAAAAATATTTATGCAGTATGTCCATTGATTGGGTTTACAAGAGGAATTTTTTTTTTTATCTTTGATTTTACGCCCAACCTGAAAGAAAAACATGTTTTGCTTCACCTAAAACGAGCAAATCTATAATTAAAACTTTATTATTCTGACTCAGAGGAAAGAAAAAATCATTTTTCTTTCGATTTTGGACTTATGTCTCTGTGTTTTAAATCCTATTACATTGGCGGTTTTACTTTTTTGACAATGATGTCACTTTGACAAATAAGTTGACGCAAATTAAATAACAAAAATATGGGTAAAAATATGATTTTAATAAACAGCAACTCAAAAAACAGCTTTAAGATAAAAAATACAAAGTCATTTTTAACAACAATCATCATTATTCAGTTAATTAATTAATTGTCAAAGTGACATAGTTGTCAAAAAAATGAAACCGCCAATGTGATATGACCTAAAAAGCAAAGAAAAACTATTACAGTTGGAGACAAAATATTTTGGTCGTCACGTTTCTGACACTTTAATGTAATTCAAGCTTTAACGTTAAAATGAATGACAATTTCAAATTAATGACAGCTATTATATTTTTCTATCAAGAATATGTACAGTTGCGGAATAAAAATTTCGGGCAGTATTGTCATTCTCATAATGTAAACTCTAAAACAATCTTTACATTAATAACCTCATTTTTACTCTTGTGATGTTTATGTCATTTTCATTTATTTACTTTCAAAAATAGTGATTTGTGGCATAATAACGGGTAGGCAGCTGATCAAAGCGATGATTTAATTACACTTAATTCAATTAATAAATTTCCTAAGACAGACAAATTGTTTAATTAACAATTTTAACAACAAAAAAAAATAAGTTTAATTGTCAAATGTCAGTCATGATGGTAGTTTACAGTGAACTTTTCTAAAGTGACAGAAAAATACTGCCCAAAATTTTAATTCCGCAACTGTACATACAATTTGTCAACTATGATTGACAGTAGCTAAAAATTAGGTTAACAGTCTTAAAGCATGCTTTACAATTTAATGTCACTCAAGTGACATTGACGACCAAAGTATTTTGTCTCCAACTGTACAAATCCAAAATCAAGACAAAAATGAACTTTTCTTCCTAATGAATCAGAATAATAAAGTTTGAATTATAGATTTGCTCGTTTCAGATGGAGCAAAAAATCTTTTTCGTTTACAATTTTGGCTTAAAATCAAAGAAATTTTTTTTTTTCTTGTAAACTCAATCCGGAGACATAGTGTATACAGGGTGCGCCAGAACTCGCGCCCCAGAGAAAAATGCCATATAAGGTTAGATACCAGGAACATGGAAAAAATGTTAAAAAAAATATCTATAATAATTTCGAAGTTATGAGGGTTTAAAGTTTGCACTTTGACTCTATTTATTTCTGTTGGAAAAATAATTTTCCAAATTTTTTTGCTATAGGCTATTAAAAGAGGAAACAAGGAAGCTGTATCCTAAATTGTAACTGTGTTCAATGTTATTTGTGGCTTTTATTGGCAAAATTTTTGTCCTTTTACTAAATAATTGTAAAAAAACATATACAAGATCATCAGTATTCTTAAATAGATATAAAAAAATGTCAAATGTCAAAATTTTTTGACATAGAATTTTTTAAACATTTTTTTTCATGTTCCTGGTATCT